AAAAAACCACCTCCCCCTACCAAAAAACCCCAAAAGAACCCCCACAAAAAACAAACAAACCAAAAACACACAAAACAACAACCAAACAACAACAACCCATATTTATGATTCAGCCTGTCGCTCAAAGAAACTCGTTCTTTTGTCCCCGCCAATTCCTATCAAACACACGTAACGCTTTTGTATTTAGAAGACTAAACAGAATATGCACATAATTATTATTCTCATAATGTCGCGGTAAGAGAGGATTAACAAAATTAAATCCCGAAAGGAGGAAACTTTCAGTAATTCTTGGTAAAACTAGCATTAGACTTACAATGCACATTTTTGAAAACTAAATAGCGACACTTTGCACTTTTATTAAAGGAAAAAAAGATAAAAACAGATAACAACCCTCCACCCCCACCCCAAAACAAAAAAAACAAACAACCAAAACAACAACCCCAAAAATAAATAAACAAACAAACGTAAAAACGAAAGCAAAAAATTCCTCTAAAACAATAACAACAGAAAAAAGCAAAAAACCCACCCAGAAGCAACTTATTCAGCGATCACATGTGTACGGTTTCCAGAACGATGAGCTGTGGACCTCTCTGAGAGACTCCAGCGAGGACTCCGAGCAGAGAATCGCCGCCTATGTGGCTCTGATGCGCTGCCCGGACCAGAAAACCCTCAACAAGATCCAGGCTTTCCTAGAGAATGTTGAAGATGAACAGGTTGCCTCTTACATCTACACCCACCTGAAGAACTTGGGAGAGACTTCAGACCCACACAAGCAAGAACTCGCTGCAGCAGTCAACAAGTAAGTTGATTTCGATTAATTGCAGCAAAATAGGGCCAAGCTATCTGTTTAAAGACGTTAGCAGCCTTCAGCCAGCGATCCAAAATCGGACCCGATTTTTAGGGGACTTCATTGACTTAACTCAAATAAATAATGAATTAAGGTACTTTCATTTAGCTATCAGTCTCCCTCCCCTTCCTTTTCAAGTGTATAAAGATGTTCTTTTTTTAAAGCAGACTAATTTAAGAAGGTTCCGTCTTTGAGGCTTTTGTTGGAAGAAAGAGAACTTTACAGAAGTAAACTATGCCATTTAGCCAAAGATGTACCAGGTCTGTGATGGTGAAGGAAAAAATGAGCAGAGACCCCCCCCCCCCCAAGAATAACATATTAATAGAATATAACTATACTCCAATCATGTACACAAATCACTTACACACCCGCACACTCACACCTAAATACGCACACCTAAACACACACACACTCACAGAGACACGCACAGACACAAACACACACACACACACACACACACACACACACACACACACACACTCACAAACACACACACACACATACATACATGCATACGTATCGGTGTATTTAAAACTATGTTCTTTTGCTTCCAGACTGACCCTGAGAAAAGTTGAAGTGAGCCCTTTCAAGTCTTCCCGAAACTTCGAGGCCTCTGTCCTCATCAACAAGCTGAACATGGGTGCAGTGGTAGATTCTGACCTGATCATGGCGTCCGCCGCTCCCGTGCCGCGAGCTGCTCGCCTCAACCTCACCATGGAGCTCTTCGGCAACTCCATCAACGCTCTCGAGGTCGGAGGTCGCATTGTGGGTCTGGAATACCTCATTGAGAAACTGCTCGGATCCTACGGCTACTCCTCCAAGTCCAGCCGAAAGCAGGTACAGTCCAAGTTGTCGAAAACATCTTGAGGGGTCCATTGTTCAGTCCTTTGTCCAAATGTCCTATGTCCAAAACAGCCAAACGCATCAATTGCTCATTCCTATATCTAAAACAACCAAAGTTCTCCATTGCTCAATCCTATACCCAATTACACAGCCGAAGGGACCCATTGCTCAGTCCTATGTCAAAAACAGCTCCCCCCCTAAGCCCCAATTGTCAATGGGTCCCTTTGTCAGCCCTATCAAAAGGATGAGCTCTGATGAGCATAACGTTGTGCTTTTTGTGTTATCAAGAGTCTACCAAAGTTTATATTAAGGTTAGTTTTCTAGATGGTAGACAATACTTTGTTACTTTAAATAATTACAATTCACTTTCTCAAAGGATATTGAGAGAGGAGAGGTGGGGGGGGGGGTATTATATTTTTCCGGACCTAATATTGAATAACTGTCTCCTTTTACTGCAGATTAACAACTTGTTGGACGAGGTCAGGGCATCCTCCTACGCCCGGGTCTTTGGAAACGAACTGTCATTCCACCACATGAAGGGAATCAGCCCTCTGCTCAAATCCCTGAAGAACACTCCCAACATTCTGGAGCATCTCATCAGCTTTTTCGAGAAGAAGGCAGTGTCCTACAGCCACTCTCAGAAGATCATTGATGTTTCCATCATTGTCCCAACGGCTGCAGGTATTTTTTGTCTCAGCATTTAACAAACTGTCGAGAACAGCAATTCTTAATCCTTTTCGGCATTTTGATTCGATTACACTAGAATCAATTCAATTTGATACTTTAAAAAAAAGTACAACCTGAAACTGGGTTTACCAAGGACACAATATTGTATCTCACTCTTACCGGGTTACCCCCCCCCAACAGGTAGAGTCCACGCAAGCTGCTTCCTATTTGATATAAAAGTATAATTGGGAATGTAAACACCTATAATTATAATAAAATAAATAAAAAGACGTTTTAACGATTTGTTGGAAAAATTGCAAAACTGTTTTTTAAATTAAAAAATTGATTCAACAAAGGACTGTAGTCTTTGATATGAGACTTTTGATGCAAGAAAGAGAACATTGCAGCACTATACTGCGCCATACATCAACACACAAGTGGAAGTAGTTGAAGGATTCGTTGTCTTTCACAGGTATCCCCATGAACGTCGTGGTCAATGGTTCTGCCAGTCTTGATCTTTCCGCTGAGGGCAAAGTTGACCTGAGACAAACGTCTTCCCTTCCCCGATCCCTGGAAATTACTGGTGATATCAGGCCCAGGTATGCGTTTCTGTTATCGAAGGTATTTCTTTTATACGTTGCTTTTGTTCACTTTAAATGCGACTGAGAAATATCTATACAGTTTTAATTTTTATACTGAACCCAAGAAGGAATCCCTCAAGTTGTGCACACACCCGGTTTTAAATTGCGCAAAATTTGGGACATTCTTCTCTGCCGGAATTGTTTCATTGGCATTGGCAGAAGGCACACATCATTTTCACCCTTCCTTTAAA